AACTTGAAAAGCAGTCTGACTCTTTGATTATAAGCAGCTGCTCATCTTGAACAGCCCAGCTGTGAGACATACCCTTTGCATCAGCTGTAGGACTGATACTGTTTCTGGACTTTCCACTGAAAATTTGGGCTTCTGGAGAGCCTGTTTACACCGACCCCACTGCAGACTTCCACTTCATGTCATGATACCTAGTGGAGAGCTTGGCTGAGCTGATAGCAGTCTAGTTGCTGTCAGAGAGCCTTTCCAGTTGTGCAGGCACTAGTATTGTAACCTAAGGTAGCGGTTCAGAATCCCACTAGAGTTAGTACAGCCTGTTCTGGAAGCCATGGACACTTACTTTAGCCACCAGATAACAATTAAGAGGTTTGCCATCCTTTGGACTTGGTGTTTGGCAGGCAGACCTCACAGGAGTTTACCAGTTGACCAGTGATGACAGGTTCTCTTTCAAGGGAAGAACAAGTCTAGTGTTCGTGGCAGTATGTCACACCTTTTTCATTCCCCCATTATTTTCCTCTCCCCAGTTCCTTGTTTGTGGGTGAGAAGTCTGCCCTTTTCTAACACCAGTTAACAAACTTGAGGACTCAGGACAAGCTGAAGATGATAGTTACATCTCATGGTAGATGTGTGGGGTACTTGTCAGGAGCATACTTGGCTCCTGTCTGGTATGCAAAGTTCACATTAACAGCATGAGGAGCCGTGCAAGGCACAGTTACCTGGCCAAAACATACACAGTCCTGTAGGAGGACATCTAAACCTCAGCTCCTGATGTTGAATGTCACCTAAGTCTAAAATGGTTCCTTTCTACTAAGATTCTCTCAGTCACAATTTCTGCTTGTCATCTTCAAGTTGATGAAATTTCTGAATCTTTCCTTTCCCCGCCACCAGTCTATGTTTCTTATGCTGGTAAACCTTTTTCTGTATAACGGACTTCATTGCCTCATGGGACCTAAAATCATGTACCTTCAGGTAACACTGCCCCCTCCTTTATTGATAACTACCTACTTACTTTTGGTGATGCTTCTAGAAAGCATTCCTTCTGCTTTCAGTTGCTGTGTACTTTTTCTAGGCTTACTGGTAGGGCTTCATGGCTTACTTAGTTTAACTTTACACAAATACAGCTATATTTTTGCAGTTGACATACCCAGAGAGACCTATTTCGAGTTCCTTTCAAATACGGTTCCTGACTTTCATCCTAAGCATTGTTGCTTTCCTCCCCAAGTCTTAGCTGAAATGCTGCCACAGCCAACACCATTTTTTTTCCCATCCGTGATGCCAAAGGAGGTTTTATTTTTTGTATTATCAGGACCCACTGTTTGGACTGCCCAGTAGGTAGCAGTTCAAGGCATGATTGATGATAGCCAAAAAGTTTGTGGAGACACTCTTGTTGTCTGACCACATTCCCCTAGTGATACCATAAATGAAAGCTTGAGTTCTCACAAATGTCCACATTCCTGGTATTTTCAGTTGTTTTACACGTGTCTCCTCATCTTTGAGGTATTTGTGGCTGATAAAGCGTAGGTTGGTAATATATTTGAAGTTTCTGCAAAAGACTGTCTCATCTGTAAGCATATCGAACACCTAAATGATTCTGTCCCTTGTCACCCATCGTGTGAACGCACCAATGACTGTCTTTTAAAGATGGCAAGACTAGTTGCATACTGGTAATTGAAATTCTGTAAGAATTTCACACAGATATGTCCCCTTCCTGTCCTTTCTGCTTTTTCTGAAGTTCCTTTTCACCGAGATTGACAGAAAACAATGTCACAGAGTCAGATGCGCTGTCTCTCAAACTCCTGCAGTAATTGTGGGAAGATTGTCCTGCAGTTGTACCGCTGTGAAGGCAAAAATGTCACAAGCAGCAAGCTGTAGCTGTAAACACTGTAATGTATCCAACCGTGTTTAAAGTATCCAACCTGGAGAACTGCTGCTGCTGCTTTAGTTACTGGTCACCTGTTTTGTGCTCAAAACAGATGAAAAAATATTTAATCATCAAAAACACTGGAACTTACTGAATCCACTGATACATCTCAAAGTATGACAAGGGAAACCTCCTGTTTATTCCATGCAATTTTAGCATAAAAGCTGAAGTATGTTTTCCCCAAGTGCAGAAACAGCTCATCTTGTTTTAATATCTGCCATTTAAGCTGGAATTGGGGCGTCTAATAAAATGTAATACTTCTAACCAATATGTGAAGTTAACATATTTAGTATCTCTAACTTCTAACAGCAAAACTAGATGTGCCCCCTAAACCTAAAAGAGCTCCCAAGGCCAAGAAGGTGGAAACTGTTAACTCCGACTCAGATTCAGAATTCGGCATTC